CCCACAACGAGGCCAATTCCTCAGGGGGGAATGCCCACAACGAGGCCAATTCCTCAGGGGGGAATGCCCACAACGAGGCCAATTCCTCAGGGGGGCCCATTTCTGTGACTTGAGTCAGGGTAAACTGAGTCACCCACACAGGGTCCAGTCATTCAAATGTAGTGCAGCAAGCTGTTAAAACTGACATTTCAAGAACCAAGACAGAGATGAAAAAAAGCTGAAGGCAAATATGTTATGCTTTGTTTTTATTTGGAATCACAAGAGGAACATCTTTAATAAACCCTCAAATACTTCTCTATTAATGTGATTTAAATAATGAATTTATGAAGATTGGATTGATTTGTTTACATACACCCAACTGTAGAAAAATGACTTTTTTTTGTTTACACCATCAAATCCAATCAAGCCAAACAAGATGGTTAACTAAAATGATTAATGAAGGCAGCATTAGCTGATGGCTTTAAATTTAGAATGTGTTACTAATGTCAGGGTTGATTAGTTCTCTATCTAAAACTGATGCTATTAAAAGCTTTGAGCAATTTAGATGTTGTCATTGAGTAAAATTCCAATGGAGTGAGAGAAATTCTATCAGGATTGATTCTGCTGTGGTGCACAGGAGCACAGACATTGCAGAGAGAGGAAGGGGGCCTCCCTGACGGGGAGGAGGAAGGAACTTGAGACAGTGCGTGGGCTGACTGGGTGGCATCCATCATAACAGAGGTGAAGAGACTGGAATGAAAAAAAAATACTCATCGTTGCACATGGAACCCCAAATGGCATAAGAGTATGAATATTGATCATTTCAGCTTCAGAACTTTTTAAGAGGTAAGAAAAAATAAATGAAGGGGAGGCAAGAGGTTAACATAGTGCTGTGCTTTAGTCACCCCTCTGAAAATGAATCCACAGGGAAATCATCGTAGTCAGTGGTGGAGACCAACGTTTTTATTAATCAGATAAAAGGAAAGAGTGGTAAAGCAAAGGTGATCATTGGATGGAATGATTGGTCAGGGACCAAGAAAGCAAACTGGAATGAGGACGTCAATCAAGTTGCAAAGTCAGAGTCTAAACTAATTGAAGCATTCCCCTGCTCATGCTTAAAGGCTAGGATGAGCCCCATCCTGGGGGCCATTGCACAGGACTTGGGGAAATCAAGTTGCTCCAGGTCGCTGTGACTTTTGGAAGGTGTGCAATCGGAGGCTGCAAGCCATTTCCAATGTCTGCCTTTGAAATATTTTAATATTAGTCCAAATGTCGCAAGACATTTTAAAGGGAAGGGAAAATGCACTTCCCTGGACCCCAATTGTCTGGCAATTTAGATTCCATCACTGTCGGGAGCCCAGGGAATGGAACCTGTCAGGGAGGCAGAGGAAGCTGAGGCCATGCAGTCACCCATGCAGCTTGGCGATCTCTAGGAAATAGGCCGCAAATAATTTGGACCCTTCTATGTAGTTCCACCTAAGAAAGGAAAAGCAAAGAAAGACTTTGTTACAATTCCCATTCAAATGAAGGAGGAAGAATATTCTCCCATTTTCACAGGAAGATTAATGTTATAAATTCAATCTAAAGTACTTAAAATACTTCTGAGATCCCAGTATAGGATTGTCTCGTCATTGCTATGACAGGGACTTCAAACGTTTTATTGTTTCTCACTAGTCTGGGAGGCATAGGAGACTTGTACAATCTGTTAACAGTGTGTACATCAAATATTCCTAAATGTCCTTTGTTATGGACTGAATGTTTGTGCTTCCCCCAAATCCGTATATTGAAGTTCTAATCCCCAATGTGCCTGTATTTGGAGTTGGGTCTGGAGGAGATGAAAAGATTAAATGGGGTCAGAAGGGTGGGACATCATCCAATAGGGCCCAATAACTATCTGCTATTCACATACCCAGGCTGCAGCATTTTCCACTCTGACATAAAGTGAATGGGAAACCCACATGGAGCCCCTGGGTTTGTGGGGTGAGGACCCCGCCCCAAGCAGGTGTTGGCTGACCTGTTGATCTTCTCTTTCTGAGAGTGCTCTCCATCATCAACAGCTCCTAGCGGAAGCATCATCACACTCTTACAGATAATCTCCCGGAATAGTCTGGCAATTGGAATGGTTGATCCATCCCGGATCATATCTGGTTCTGTTCCAAACACTGAAACACAGGGAAAGAAGCCACTGGGATTCTACCCGCCGCAGTGTCCTCCAGTGAGTGCTGCTTCATCTTATCTTCATCTTCCTTCCTTCCCTTTAGATGTGGTGCCTGGGATAAGTAAGCTCCTTGATATTACGCAATTTATATTCTAAAATACTCAATAGAGTCCAGAAGGAAGCTGTGGGTGGCTTCTTTATAATTACCTACTTTAAAAACATTATTTAAAATACAGTTTTATTTTGAGCTTTTTTTTTTTTGGCCAAGGCTGGGTTTGAACCCACCACCTCTGGCATATGGGGATGGTACCCTACTCCTTGAGCCATAGGTGCCACCCTATTTTGAACTCATTTTAGAGAAGTTTAGAACTTAGAAAAGTTGCAAAAATCGTACAGAGAAAGTTCCCAGGTATCCCTGACTCTACCTTCCCTCTTGTTAACATCGTACATAACTAGGGCACAACGAGAGAAGAGAAAATTCACACTGGTACAATATTATCAGCTACACTCCAAACTTTTTTGGATTTCACCAATCTTTTCCTTTTTCAATTCCAGGATCCAGTACAGCCTCCCGCTCTGCCTTCTAGGATTGATTCTCCTTAGTGCAGTGGTTCTCAACCTTCCGGATGCTGCAGCCCTTTAATACAGGGCTTAGTTTTTTGTATTCTGTGACAGCTCAGTATCTCCTTGTCTTTCCTGAGCATCTCGATCAGTTGTTTTGTAAAATGTCCCTCCTTTGGGGTTTATCTCATGTTTTCTTGTGATTGGAAGAGGTCGTGCAATTTTGGCAAGATAATGTACCCACTTTTATGGTTTACTCATGCATTAAACATTGTAGAAATGGGTCTTTGGGGGCAACAAATACACAAGTAAGTAGTGTACTATCCCAAGAATGAAACAACATTTTTCCCAGCTGTCAAGTATCCAGTACTATAGTTTTAACTATTATCCTAGGTTCTAGAAAGAGATGAGCTCAAGCCTAGCTTCGAGGACGAGATGCCAGTGATGGAGCAGGAATAAAAAATAAAACAAGGACACAGAGAACATTCCACCTCTCTTGGTTCACAAAGCAAGCTATAAATGTGAATATAGGGGACGTACCTCATTAGCAGAGGAGTTCAGCGTGCAAATAGATGAAAAGGTGTCTAATGTATTCCTGGGACAGCATCTCAGACCTCTTCATTGTGTTAACCTTGACATTCAAACATACCTCTCTACCCAAAGGCGTTACATTTACCTTCTCAACTCCTCTTCCTCCTTCCTTCATTCCCAAAGGTTACTAGTAAAATACCGGCTAAGACTGAGGAGTTGGGGACAGGAATGATGATGTAGGACGTTGTCTAATTTTTCGTGTCTGAGTCCTTTGTAGTGATAACTCAACAGAGTAAGTGCTTCCGATCCCAGCCCTTCCTCTACCGCAGTGTGGGCTCAGGCCTCAACTGTGATGTGCTGCTTAGGTCCACACAAACACATGGCACGCGGTCCCTCCTAGATGTAGGGGGGACATTTTGCTATTGTTGGCAGGGTCCCCCTCTTGTTGCAGAAGCCAGAGAGACTGGATGTTCCGTCACCCTGCCTCACAGCCAGTGCCCAAACACATACCCTCTGCCCGGCTCAGCCCGGAGTCTGAAAGACTTCGAAATTCCAACCACAGCGCCTCCTTCCCGAGACGCAATGTGGTATTATGGAAAAACCACTGGTTTGGGGGTTGGATAGGTCAGAATTGAGTTTCTCATGTGTTTTATAATTTCATACAGTAAGTTTCTCTCCAGGAATTTCGTTCTGTGGAAATCTTCTGTGGGCCAACTGGGATCTGTGTCCTAGGAAGTTTGCATCAGCCAAGCAGTCCAGCCACGGGTTTGAGGAGAAGTAAACCACACACAAAGTAAAACTAAGAGCCAAACCCATGTGACAATGGGTCTATGGTTAAAAATACTCCAGATGGACATTGTGTTCATGCAAAGCTCAAGCAAAAACAGTCACACTTACACACACACACACACACACACACACACACACACACACACAGATGAACTGGCTCTGCAGGACATTATGACTCAAAAGCAGGACACCCTGCCTGCAGGTCACGGAATGCCCTGGCCTCTTTGAGACTAGGAAGAGTCAATCCCCGCACAGCCCAGTGTCTGCCTGAATATGCCACTGGATTTTAGCTTCTCCTCCATTTTCACCCAAGGGATTTCCTTTACTTTCATACAAGTTAATCTCTATTTTGAAAGGATGTTTGTATATGTTGACCAACATTTCCATGGATTTTGCTTCAGGAGGGTTTGAAGTTTTTCTAGTCCATTACTTCCCCCCAAATTCAGTTTGGACACGGCCTTTGCCACTCATGGCTGGGCGCCTGTCAGCAAGTTGTTTCATTTCTTTAAGCCTTAGATTCTTGCTCTATACATGGGGAAGAATGTTGGGAGGATTCCATGAGATGGCAGGCATGAAGTGCCCTGCACACAATGTGGATTCAAAATATGCCCTTTATAAAAGGTTGATATTTGAGTTTTTAAAGGATCTGCTTTACTAGGTATCCCCCAGGCCTCAGTGCAATCTGGCAAATCAAAACATCTTAAGGTCCCACCTGTTCTGATTGCTCTTCTTGCTGCGAGGTACTGACTATCATTAATATTTGCAATCCACGGGTACAGTCCTAGTACCATGGAAACAGCCATCTCGTTGGAGCTATTTCTTTTGGAGAAAACATCTTCAAGATGGCGCTTCACCTACAAGGAGACATCTCAATAGTAAGAGAGATTTTCATGTCATCCTCTCCAGTGGTTAATACAACCTTTTATCAAGAAACTGATTGAAATCTGAGTGTTGGTGCTTACTTGGTTTGCCAGAGGGCTTGACATAGAGCAAGAGCCCTCTTCCAGCTGAGTAAAAGAAGCCCCTGGCTTTGCCCCATGGGAGAAACCTTCTCTCACTCGCCCTCTGTCCTCTGCCCTGCAATCCCCAATCCCACCCCCACCCCTTCTCACCAGTGTCTCACACATGGAGCTGTTTGTATGTTTGCTGAAAAATAGGACTCAAAATTACAGGCAGGACATCTCAGTTGGAATTCATTAGGGTAATGGATATTTGGGGAACATTAAGCATTCGGGAAATTTCCAGGAAGTAGGAGCAATTCTAAGCTGAGCTGTGGAGGAGATCTGTTTTAGCATCACTCCCTATACTTTTTCTCCTTCCCAATTGCTACTGTGGAAACCCTCTGGGGGAAAGCTCCGTACTCAAATATTTCTCCCATTCATTTCTTCAACCAGCATTTATGGAACATCTGTCATGTGCCAGGGACTGTGCAGAGCTGCAGATACAGCTTGAAACGTGGCAAAGAAGTTACTGCCTTTGTGGAATTGATATGATGTGGGGAAGAGGGCAACACATTGAAAAAGAAGGAAAGATGGAAGGAAGGAAGGGAGGGAGGGAGGGAGGGAGGGAAGGAAAGAAGGAAATAAGGAAGGAGGGAGGGAGGGAAGGAAGGAAAGAAGGAAGGAGGGAGGGAGGGAAGGAAGGAAAGAAGGAAGGAGGGAAGGAGAAAGATTATTTTAGAGCATAATCAATGCTAACAAGACAATGAAAGGATGTTGGAATCAGAAATGACTGTTGGGATGAGGAGTTTCTTAGGTAATTTATTCAAGAGTCTACTTTCTGTTAAACTAACTGGACATGCATTGATGATAGGTTGGCAAGGCAGACATACAAACTCATTCCAGATAACACCTTCATTATGACTGCTTTCAAAGCGCTATCATGGAAAAACAATCGGGGCCTGAGATAATCTGGCTCCACCCGAGTGTGGGCTGTCCCCTCTCCATCTATGCGTAAACCTACCTTGCTTTCTCTCTACCATCTAATTTTTAAGAATTTACTATCCACTCCAGCTCCAAATGTTTATTTACCTGACTGCGGTAATGGCATCTAATTGGGGAAAGAGATTTTTACTGCACAAAAACAATATTGCTTTTTGACATTGTTCCAATCTTTTTGTATTAGAAAAAAAGACCCTTCAATAGTTACTAAACTGTGATGTGTGGTGCTCAGAAAATGTGCTGCCAGGAAGGAGGGTGAGGGGCGTTTGTTACCTGTTTTTCCACCACGGACATATTCATATGAGGGACGAGCCGGATTGAAAACTTTCCCACAACTCGGCCAGGTATGACGGTTTTGGCTCCAGACCCATCAAATGCACCCTCGATCCCATGAATAGAAAGAGATGGGTACCTCCACAGGTGCATTAGAATCTCTTCCTGAATTAAAATAAAATTGTCCAAAGAATCTGTAATTAAATCTGGGTTGAATTGTTCTACTTGTATCAACCAGCCCCTGTCCATCTGATTCACCGCCATGACAAGCTAATTATCACCTTCCTTAGTCACATCTGGGACGAGGGGAGCAGGTGGACTTTGCCCCAGGGTGGGAACCTCCTCTGGTCCTCCCATGCTGGCACCCACCCAAGCTGCTTCCCACTCAGAAGCCCCCTCTTTGCCTGAGCAGCAGAGTGTGAGGTCTTCCACTAACCGAATGTTACTATTCAGAAATCTTCAAAGAACTCTGGATATTTGAGGAGGTTTTCAGCCCTCTTCCTTCACAGGGCTATTGTGAGGGGAGAGATCCTTCTCATAATAATAAACTCTGCCGGTTCCTGTCAGCACGAGTCTCCCTCTCCCACAGCTCCCCCAGAAATCAGCCAGAGCTGCCAACTGCCTTGTTATCAGGCAAGCATTTTATAGAGAAGGAAGAGGAGGAAGAAAGAAAAAAATCTAATTTTTCCAGTAAGGAATGCTTTGGTTTTGTGTTTACTTGGCACACTGAAGCCTCAATGTACCAATTTACAGATGTGCCCTGGGGGGGTCTTGATTTTGTCTAGAAAAGGCAACAGTTGGAGATTTTGGAGCTGGAACAATCTCACTCTCCTCAATTTGTGAACAGGTCACTGGCTGGAGGCTGGCATGGGACTTAAGTGAACCAACTGCTTTGGAAAAGCACAGCTGTGAAATTGCCATGCTCAGGCCCCTAGAGCCATGAAATGGACCCAGAAAGGGACTGGTTGAGCTAGCCCATAGGGAGTGGCTGTGAAGTGACAAAATCTGCCTAGGAGTTGGGTAACATCTGTTTTGGCTTCTAAGATGCACAGATTAGCACCAGAGAATAAATGAGACGTGGATTACCACCGCTCCTCTGTCTGATTATCCATCAATCTGCAGCCGTACCTTTGTATCAAACAGAAATTTCTTAACCTGGCTGCTATTCTTGTATTCTTCTACATCCAGATCGATGGATTTGTACATATTTTTTTCCTTTTCTGTAAGAGGAGCCACGTGGTCATAGATTCCAGGGATCAGGATACGACCAGACGCGTCTACAAGGCTACCTGCAGAATACACACAGGAAATAAAGCCAGGCAGCAGCTGGCAGGGGGCTGATGCTGTGGGCCAAGGGCCAGCCCTCGGGTGACTCTCCTGGGTCACAGCAGGCCCTGGTCCTCTGGGGTCAGACTCACTCTGTGCTCACCTTTTCAAGGAAGGCTGAAAACACCTGAGGCTGAAATAAATGAAGTCAGAGGGACTTACCTGGACCACGTTCCAGGTACAACAGTACAACTTTGTATTATGAACAAGGTTTGTTTTGTAGCTTAATCTTATCCTGAGTTAAAAGGTAATATGTACTCATTATAAAAAATTCAAAACATGCATGCCTGTGTACATACATGCATACCTGAAAAACTAAAAATTTCCCTCACCCTTCCCAACTTCTTTTCCCTTATAAAAACACCCCATAATAATATAATACTCATTTTCATCCAAAGCATAATATCCGTGAGGTCTTGTCCATAGAATCCCATCATGACTACAAAATCCTTTATAGTTAATAAACATATACACAGTCTGCTCTTCCCCAAAGGACTTGAGGATCAGCAGGAAAGGAAGAAAAGTCATTAAGGAACATATAGTTTATAAAATAAACAGATGTTGAGATGTAGCAAACACTGCTCACTGTCTGGAGAGAATCCTTAGCAGAGACAAAACACAACCAGGAAATAAACTGAGGCAAATGACACAAAAGCGTCTCCAGGGCCGCTAAATTAATCCTCACCAGTAACACAGTCACGGAATCTTCCCTGCAGTCCCTGAGCTTTCACTGACAGTCTTCTACTTAAGGACAGAGCTGCCGAACAGACAAGTGGAGGACGTACTCATAACGGCTGGAAAGACGCTTGCAGAGCAACACCACGGGCAGCAGGAGACCCCTCAGGGGCCTCGGGGAGGCAGGTGGGCCCGGGAGGTTGCAGGCACCGTGAGGTTAGAATAGTTATATAACTCAACAAGAACATTGTTATTTTTCACAAATAGATTTGAGCAACACAGCCACTAAAATCAGAGTGCCCATGGCAGCCAAGAGGAAACCTGATGGTGACATTTTGGCTGGTGTTGCCAGAGCTGCCCATTGCGGGGTGGTAGTGATCTCCCCTCAGCAGGAAGGGGACCGTGGTGTGGGCACTCAGTGGACTTTCCTAGGGAAACAGCCCAGGCCTTGGCTCTCGGGTCATTTTAAATTAGGATCTCATCTTCTCAGGGTGCAGGGCGGCCCTCCCCTCTGCCGGCCTGGGAAAAGGCCTGTGTGCACACATCCTGGCGGAAGGGAGAGTGGACTTGCTCATCTTCCTTTTAATTCACTCTCAGAGGAGCCCACTTACAGAGAGGGCTGAGGAGTACGGCTCTGTCGCTGGCCCCGCAGGGACTGGGAATGGGAAAGTGGAAGTCTGAGCTCTTCAGGAGTTATTATGCTGTCTATGTCCCATGTTCCACATTCTTTCACCCTGGTTCTGTCATACTGAAAGCGTTTGCATGAAAGCTGGATGTGTAAGCCCCCACCGCTCCCTTCCTGGTCATTTTCAGTTAGAAATCTTTATCCTCTAAATGTGACCTCTTTTTAAGAAAGAACATTAAATTATGAATATGAAACTCTGAGTGTTCCTGCCAGGACAGAGAGCGCTCCTATAAGTGACCCTTCCTTAGATGCCCAGGGAAGCCGCCCTGGGCAGCCCCGATACAGAGAGGAGGCAAGTCAAGCCTGGGCTAAGAAGGACTCAACCCTCCCCTTGCACACCAGGCCCAGTGATGTAGCATCGGCTCCCTCAGGGGACTCACTGGGGTCTCTGGGCTCCTCAGGGCCATAGCTACCTTGAGAAATGAAGCCAAGTGGAGCTAGCACATTTGACACCATCTCCGGACATTATGGTAAGAGCTTCTCTCTCAGGCTGAAGGGACTGAGTTGTGATGGGCACACTGTCCAGCCACCGTGGGGACACTCACCCTCTGACTGTGTCCTACAGGGCGGGGCTCTATCGGTAATGGGAAAACTGAGGACTAGAGAGCTTGAGTAACTTGCCAATGTCTTGCAGCTGGTCTGTGGCAGAGCAAGGATGCTCCAGTCACTGTCACCCAGAGCCCAAATGCTAGGAGACACAGCCTCTGTGTGCCCGGACGGTTCTGCGGAAGGGCCTGTCTGTGGGGTAACACGAGAGGCCCTTGTAGGCAGTGGGCCTCATGTGGGGTCGGTTTTGTTCCTCTCCCTTTTGGGGATCCCTTGGTTGATTTATCTTCAGTCAAAAAGTCCTGCTGGGTCTACTGAAGCTGTGCTTCAGCTGGCTTGTGAATGCCACCCCCACTCACCCAGCGTTCCAGGAGCCCCAGTGAGGCAGTCTGAGGTGGCCTCTCGGTCCTGTGTGTCCTGCAGGTCCCTTCACTCTTGGCCTTGTGTACAGTGGATGTGTCACAATTGCCAATAAGAGAATAGGGTGGATTGAGGAAGAGTCTCAGTCAAGGGAGAGGAATGACAGAGACCTAACACCAAGTCCAGGGACAGTTAGCAGAGGGGAGGAAGTGCTGAGAAGGGGGTTTTTCTTCTACGACATCTTTATTCAGAGCTGGCCCACAAGCCAGAGGAGAGACAGAAAGCCAAACAGAACTGTACTTAGTAGAACCCGGGATGCTTAAAAAGTGAAACAAAATGAGGCCTTACCAAGAAGAGCAACCAAATCAGCCATCGGCTCATTCAGGATGCCACCAAAGGTCCCTGAATGGAAGTCTTGGTCTCTGCATTTCACCTGTGAAGCAGGTGAGAGAAGAGGGGCCCTCACTGTCTCAGTTCCTCGGTAGGGACATTTTGTGCAGTGGAAGACACGCCCGGTGCATCCCCCAGACCTCAGAGCTGACTTCCCCTCCTGTAGTTCTCAAAAGCCTTGACCCCGCTCTACTCCCTCCTTCCCTCTGTGCCCCGAATCCCCTGAAACCCCCGAATTCTCTAGCTATTCCGCCACGATACGCCAGCTGAGAGTGCCAGGCACTCCTCGGCCAAGTGGTCGGCATTTACACTGTTGTCTTCCCCTGGTTTTTCACCCTCTTTCTGGAAAAATTACCTTCCTCTGCTTTCTGGAAAGTTCCCTTCCCTTTATGCTTCTCTCGCCCGCAGGCTGGTTCTCTTCTATCTCCTCTGACAACATCTTTCCCTCCTTGACGGTTTCATCCTTGGCCTGTTCTTCCCCCATCCTCGGAGTTTCTGGAACTTGCAAAATGCCCTTCACCACCTCCACACCCCTCAGTGTTCACCTGTCACCTGGACCCTAAAACGGCTGGGTGCCAACAGTGTGCTCCACGAGGGTGCGTGTCCAGTGTCTGAACTTGACCCAGTCTCCTGAAATTCGTTTCCTACCAGCCTGATCTCTCCTACGTAAACGACATCCAACCAGTTACCAATTTCCAGTCAACTGAGTTATTTTAAAATTGTCCCTTCAGTTCATCCCCTCTCGTCTTCCCTACAAGTGGATCTTACAGGTCAGGCCGCCTTGTCTGGGGGCCTTTATTTTATTAGGCCATCACACTATCTGTGCACCTTCCCCCTTCGGGACCTTCAGCCACCTGTCCCGTCTTCTGATGACCGTCCTCTCCTCCTCCTCTCTGGTCACTTTTCTACCCCACCTGCCCTTGGTCCTCAGCAAGATGTCCTCCCCTTGATCCTTCCAAGATTTCCCAAACTGTGGTCCTCCCACTTTTGCTTCTCCCTCGTTTAACCTAAATACCACCGATTGCCCCCTCG